TTGCTTTCTTGAAATTTATTGTATTTACTTTTGAAATTTGGCTTTTTTAAATTTTTCTGGCATTAAAAACTAGTTGGACAATGTGTAATGATCTAATTTCTTTAATATCTTATGCAGAGAAACCATATACTTCGATTATGTTTTGATCTCATAAAATATTATTTCCTAATTTCATGATATGGCATTTCTACCTTTTTGTCTAACTGTATATTGATGTATGTAAGTTTCTTGAATATGAAGAATTTGAGGCTTGCTAAGGATGAGATCTCTCTATTACGAGAGAAAGACTTCAAGATCATGCTACGCCAAAAGAAGCTTTACTTGGTTCTCGATTTAGATCATACGTTACTTAATTCTACTCGATATAACGATATCACCAAGGGAGAAGGACATTTACAGGGACAAAGGTATACTCTGCCAGGTATGGCCCCCTTAGTGTTTGGCAATATTGTTCTTGCTTCTAAAGTTTGCATTTCTTTCCTTTTTTTGTTTTTTCCATGCACTTCAACTTTCAAGGGCGATTGGCTTCATGTTATATCATATTTTGATAATTCCGGAACTTCATTAAGAAAAAGGGAAAAAGAAAAAATACAAAAAAATAAAAATAAATGTATTCTATCAAACTCTATATGAACAATGCATCGAAACTTCTCTGATTTCAGTTTGCAACTGTGTAAAGCAGATTTACCAATTTCTTGCTCTAGACACAGCTCAAAAGTTTAATTAACCTTTCCTTGAACAAGTTACTTCTCCTTTTACTTTGATATTTTGCAAAAATAAGTGTATCAAGTACTTTCCTCTGGGATTTTGATTATTGCTAGTTTCTTAATTGTCTTTGGTGAATATTGTTTCTACTGCTGTTTTTCATTTCAACTTAGAATTAGTTATGATAATTTGAACTTCTATGACCAGATGCACTGAAGAGCAGCCTATTTAGCCTGGACTCGATATGCACGATGACAAAGCTTAGGCCTTTCGTGAACACCTTTCTCAAGGAAGCTAGTAAATTGTTCAAAATGTATATTTACACAATGGGAGAACGTGTCTATGCATTGAAAATGGCAAAGCTTCTCGACCCAGACTATACTTACTTCAAGTCTAGAGTTATAGCACGAGGAGATTGTAACCTTAGTGATCGAAAAGGTCTTGATGTCATTTTGGGGAAAAAAAGTGCTACCTTGATCCTTGATGATACACAAACGGTAATCATCTCATACCCTGGAATTTATGACTTGTGTACTCTCTTTTGGGGAGTGGTTAATATATCATTCTAAGCCCTTTCATTTAGTGTATGTTATGAAAAACTACCTTGTTCAAATCCATCTGTTTACTTGTACCAGTTAAATTTCTTTCTTATTTCTGCATGAAATGAGAATTTTCCTTATGTTTGTATTATGACAAGTTTGACAAATTAATATTTTATTCTGTGTCTTTTATAATCACATCAGTAAACTGGAATGATTTGTTTACAATTATAATATATGCATTATCATGCTAGTACGAGTTTGCTTCACAATATCGTGCCAAGGCTATAGATACCTTAATTTTTGTTGTTCAAGTGGTTTATCTTTTCTTCGCTTTTTTCAAAAGCGACAATGAAATTGATGAAATTCGCTACATTGTCACACTTTCCACAACATTATTTTCAAGATTTCTGATAAGTTGGCAGCCACGGGAGGGGGGAGAGGAGCACTTATACTCGTGGCTGCTCACAAAAGCCTGTGTTTATTAATATAGCTTTTGACTCATATAGCAAATCAGTCTATCGCTGATAATTATTATTAAAATGATGTTTGCATTCAATAAAATCCGGA